ATGGGGGCGAAACTGAAAGCTGCGTCCGCCACGCTCGCGGCTTCACTGGAAGGCTCCGGAGGCCTCCAGCCTTCCGAGAAGCGGTGCGGGCCTTGTCCGAGGACGCGGAAAGCTTATGAGGGGGCGCGAGGGCTCCTGAGAAGCCTCGCCGCGTTCCGAACAGGCCCGCCGCCTCTCGTGCCTTCCTGGGCTCGCCGCCGATCCTAGAGGCGGCCTGCAGACACGTGCCAGGGAATCGCGGGGTCAACATCTGGCAGCCGTCTCAGCTTTCGAGCAGACGGACTCAAACTCTGCACCAGAATGGTCCTCCCTGTCCTCAGACGCGAGATGCTGAGGCGAACGCGCTCTGAACACCTGCGCCTTTGCAGGGCGGCAGATCTGGTGGAGAAGCGACGAGGGGAATAAATCATGACATGTGCATCGGAGTCGGCACCAACTGATCCGCATCACCCGCAGCACTCGCACTTTCTTCGGCAGAGGAGGGGAACATTTATTGCTTGTTTGCTCATGTGAGTTTTGTTTTGGTTGTTCCCTACCTAGGTTCTGCCTAGAAGGGTTCTTACTCTCTGGGCTTAAAGGGGCCAGGCAGTGGAAAGCCCCCCCAGGCGGTTACCCCAGTATCCGCCCCGCGGTTCCCCCAGTTACGTCCCCTTAGCTTAGCGTTGCTTACATCATCTTAGCTTACCCTAGCTTAACTTAGCTTAGCTTAGCTTAGCCTAGCCTAGCTTAGCTTAGCTTAGATTAGCTTAGCTCAGCTTAGCGCAGCATAGCATAATATGGCATATCACATCATAGCGCATCATATCATATCATAACATAACATAGCATAGCATCGCACAGCGCAGCATACCATATCATAGCATATCATAGCATGTATATGCATGTGTACATGTAGATGTAGCTGTAGGTGTAGATGTGGATGTATGTCTAGGTGTGTAGGTATTAAGCTGTACTCATACGACTACTACTACTACTACTACTGCCACTGCTGCTGCTACTACTACTACTTCTACTACTACTACTACTACTGCTGCTACTACTACTACTACTACTACTACTACTACTACTGCAACGACTACTGCTACGACTACTACTACTACTACTACTACTACTACTGCTACCGCTACTGCTACACCTGCGACGATAAAGAGACGGAGGAGCACGGCGTTTACCGTTACTACTAATAATGCTATCCTCGGGGCTCCAACTCCTAGGTCGGGTCGCTCTGGGATACTTTGTTACCGTTTCCGTGTTTCCATAATGTTAGCCAGCGCGGACCCCACACAATTAGTTCTTGCACTCTATGCGGTGCAATATATCTGGTGCAGTGTATGCGATGCAACCTATGTAATGCAATTTATGCGGCACAGTCTATGCGGTGCAATTCATGTGATGCAATCTACGCGATGCAACCTATGTAATGCAATCTGTGTTGTGGAATTTCGGTGGTGCAACCTACGCGGTGCAACCTATGCAGTGCAGTCTATGCGGTGCAATCTATGTGGTGCAATTGGTCTTTACCCATGATTTGACACATCCCACGCTCTTGCAAGCATCCCACCCGCCCACCCACAACTCGGGTTTGCAAAACCTCTTAAGACCGACCACGGCGACACCGACGACAACGACTACGACGACACCGACGACGTCTCCGACGACTTCGACGACGACGACAACGACGCCGACGCCGACGCCGACGACGAAGACGACGTCGCCAACGAAGACGACGACGAGGGAGGAGGAAGGACGACGACGACGACGGCGACAACGACGACAACGACGACAACGACGAGGGAGGAGGGAGGATGGCGACGACGCGAACGACGAAGAAGGAGGAAGGACGGCGACGCCGACGACGACAACGACGAGGGAGGAGGGGAGAGACGACGACGACGACGACGACGACGACGACGGCGACGAAATAGGAGGGACGACGACGAGACGCCGACGACGGACGACGACGACGACGAGGGAGGAGGAGGAAGGACGACCACGGCGACAACGACGACGGAAACGACCACGACGCCAAAGAGGACGACCCAAGATGGCCCAAGACGGGGGGGGCTGGTATAATCTATTTCCTTCCTAAGAAAGAGAATACATGCGACGGCGACGGCGGCGACGGGCGGCATCGCCCGCAAAGCCGCCACTCGCCCCGAGCGGCGGCGACGGCGACGGCGGCGACGGGCGGCACCGCCCGTAAAAGTCGCCATTCACCCGAGGTGGTGAAGTCAAGTAAGAACCCCTAATTGCAAGCACTGTTTGGGGAACATTCGCCGTGCATCATGGCGCTCGGTTCGCGCAGCTCATTGCCCACACATGACCCAACGTGTGCGCGCGATCACACAAGCGCGATCTTTTGATTTTACCGTGTCAATACTTGGAACGATGATATCTCGCTGACGGCATCTATCTTTCTTCTATTCCCCAAGTGCAGCAGCTTGGACGAAGCTTGCAGGTATAAGTGGTGCCATTCGAAGATAAAGGTGGTGTCATGCCAAAGGTGAAGGTGGTATCCTGCGAATGGACGAGACGTGCAAAGACAGTGCACCATGCTTAAGAACGCAGCTAGATCGTGAGACAAACGGGCGCAAGCGTCATTGGCCCCGCTCGCTGTGTCCACCAATGGTGGCAATACTATGCGGCCTTTAGCCCACACGCCATATTCGAACGAGCTACGATTCTGTGAGCATGAGACGCATCTCGGATATCGTGGGGAGAGATCGGAAGGAAGACGCGGAACAACGACATGAATGCAGGGAGGAAGGCAAACGCAAACTGCGCCTCTGAGGCTCTGTTGCCCAAGCCCTTGCGTCTGCACTTGCCAGGGGGAATGGCTCCGTCGCTGCGTCTTGCTGCTGCTACCTGGAGGGGCTTACACTTCCACTCCGTGGTGCGGCGCCATGCTCGAATCCCACCAGCCCCCCTGGGTGAAGCATTTTTTTGGGGCCAGTTCTTCCAACTTCTTGCTTCCCCGGAGGCAGGGTTTTATCATTGTTCTTTACTAATAACCATCCCCTTTCTTACACGACTGGGTGCCGACCAGGAGCAACGCCACTCCCCCATCACCCCTGTCAACAACACGGCAACGTGCACTGTGCAGCAACATATTAATTAGATTCGGGCGACGCGCGATCGCTTGGAACTTTGCTTGGCCAGAACGGCGGGGGGCATCATGTTGCCCGCTGTGCGCAGGCCAACCATCCCTGTGCAAAAAAAAACATGCAAAGTGATTGCGGGTGCACACGCAATACACAATGCTGGCCACCACGCCGTCACTTTGCATTGCTTTTTTGACGGTGATGGTAGTGGGGGGTTGTCGCTGTATTGCCCGATGTGTGCTGTGACGCGCGTTGGCGCACTTGGCTGGCGACTGCGTTGGTTCCCGATGGTTGTAGATGGCGGTCCCTGACCATGCTGGGACTCGGGTGCTACTCATGTGGTGGGAGGGCGGGTGGGAGTGAGCAAGGCAACTTTCGACGCTCCCGCTGGGAACTTACCCCCCCCTCCCTCCTTCCCCTGGGTCAGGACGGAGCGTCTCTCGAGGTGTAAGAGGTTCTTTCTGGCCCGAGATGGCTCCAAGGGGGCCCACAGAGCCCAAGATCGTTGAACATAGCTCAAGATGGTTCAAGATAGCTTCCAGAACACCTCCAAAGAGCTTCAAGACCGCCCCATGACGGTTGCAAGTGGCCACGGAGCCTCCCAAGGACGCTTCCGAGAGCCCAAGTGTCTTCCAGCATCTCAAGCAAATTAATGATTTGTGCCCCTTCTGGCCTTTTCCCCTCCGATCGGCTCTGGAAGTCTTGCAGTGACTCTACGATCGACCAACAAAGCCCCACGAACGCAAGAAGAGGCAACTATTCGGCCTCTGGCGGGAGGGCAGTAATCAAGACCCCCCCATTATTTGATTGCCACGATGGCCTCGAGAGAGCTCCCAAGTTCCCCAAGCGAGGCTTCACATACTTCCAAGAAGGCCCCAAGAGGGCCCCAAGATAGCTGAAGAAACGCTTTCTGCCGCTGCTGGCCAGGAGGGAGGTTCCCCCCCCTCCAAACCAGGCTGCGGGGCGGGTTTCAGACCCCCCCCTGGGAAAATTATTCGGGGGTCCAGAACCCCCCCCCCGGCAGCAACAACGACGACGAGGGGGATGAGGAGGAGGACGACAACGACGACGACGTCGCCGCCGCTAGCGAACGACGCGGACGACGACGACGACGACGATGACGCACGACGACGACGACGACGACGACAGACGACGACCACGACGACGCCGACACCGATGCCGACGCTGACGCCGACGACGACGACCAAGACGATGACGACGAGCTCAGTAGAGTAGACGTACAGTAGAATAGCATGGGAGTATAATAAGATAGAATAGGGTCGAGCAGAGTCGAGTATGGTCGGGCACGGTAGGTAGAGTTGAATAAGACTTTTGTAATAGAGTTGAGAAACGTAAGTCAGATTAGAATAGACCAGGACTGATTTGAGAAGAGTAGATGATTAGAGTAGAGCAGAGCACAGCTGAGTAGTGTAAGAGTACAACTTGAGCAGTATAGAACAACGTGGAATACGATAGGGTACGGCCGAGTAGAGTAGGGTAGAATAGGGTAAAGTAGAATGGAGTATGGTAGAGTGGAGTACCCTATGGGTCCCAATAGGATTCACTGAGAGCTGGACTGAGCCCCAATAGCATGCTATCAGGGCCGGCGCCTGGCGCGGGCGCTGGCGACAGCTGCGCCGCCGCCGCTGACGTTGTCGCCGTCGTCGGCGAAGTCGTAGGCGTCGTCGTCGTCGTCGTCGCCGTCGTCGTCGTCGTCGTCGTCGTCGTCGGTGTCGTCGTCGGTGTCGTCGGTGTCGTCGGTGTCGTCGTCGTCGTCGTCGTCGTCGTCGTCGTCGTCGTCGTCGTCGTCGTCGTTGCCAGGACGAGGGGGGTCTGGACCCTCCGGCAAAATTTCTCTGAAGGGGGAGAAAGGGGGGTCTGGCCCTCACCGAATAACTTTCCTGGGGGGGAGGGAGGTTCCGGACCGCCCGGCTCTTTACCAATGGGTGGGGGTGGAAAGGGGGGTAGAGGTTCGGGGGGATCCGACCGAAAATGGGACGGATTACAACCGATTGATACGGATTCCAGCCATTTTGGTACCAATTCCAACCGAACTGATGCCAGCTCCAACCAGTTTAGAAGCTCCTCAGAGATTCCTTCGAGATTCCTTAGGGATTCTCCAATGATTCCTTAAAGATGCCCTAGAGATTCCTTACACAGATTCCTCCGAGATTTCTTCGGGGATTCTTTGGGATTCCTCAGCGATGCCTTCGAGATTCCTTACGGATTCCTTTGAGATGCCCTAGAGATTCCTGAGAAATTCCTCGGACATCCCTAAAATATCCAGTATACACATATATATATATATGTATGTATATACGTATATGTATATGTATATATATATATTTATGCCTGACTACCCTTAATATTCCTTGATATTCCTTCGAGCTACCTGAGAGTTTCCTAAACAAATTCATCCGAGATTCATCAAAGCATTCCTCTCAACTATTTTTCGTGTTTCCTCAGGATTCCTCAAGGGTTCCTCGACGTTCCCCAAGGATTCCTCAGTATTCGTCGTGGTTCTTCTAAGACCCCTCAGGGGTCCGCAGAGATTTCTCATGTATTCCTTGGGATTATTTGGGATTCCCACATGGGTGTTCGAATAACTCTGCGGAGGGCTTGGGTCGGCTAATGTCCTATTGATTTTCTATGGACACACACATCGAATATTCAATAATGAAGTGGCCTGCTTGGATCGATGCGTTTCGAATTGATACCAGATCGCACGTGTTTAACACAATGAAGCAACAACCAATACACCGTAAACGAACACATATCCCATACTGGCAACATTAACGCCTGCGACACATCAGTTATCAATGATGATATGCAATAGAAATGCTACAAACAAGCAATTTGACTCCCATATGAGAACTGTGAAATGACCATGGAAAAAAAATACCGGCCCCACGTCACATGATGCAAACCCTCGAGGCGTCATCTGCCATGCGACAGCTCGTTTGTGCAACTTGCTCACATGGAGGTGTTGTCCTGGTTCCACTTGAGAGCTGACTATTTCATGTTTGAAATTATGAGCTGTTCACTTGGATTAATAGGATTTTCTGATGGAGCTGCACATTTCGTTTTTGAACATTTTGCTGCTCGCTGATGGAACTCTTAAGATTCTCACACATGAAGACCAACAACCGCGAAACTTTACACAACTGTCGTGCGAACGTCGTCCAATTCTCACAAACCATCGTGCGACCGCTACTCAGTTTCAAACCAACGCAAGTTCCAAATGGCAGGACGTAGTCTAGCACCAATTCCAACCGTGGCGCTCATGCTGTCTGCCACAATAGATGTGTACTCTCAGGATGTGCATTTGAACTATGAGTCGTCTTACACTACTCTACACAAAGAGTCTGATGATACGGCTCAAGACGGCTGGTTGTAAATGGAAACGATTTGTCTTGTGGCCCGTTGAAAAGTGGCCCAGTTGGATGGAATTGGTGCCAATCGGCTGGGTTTGGTCCGACATGCGATTCTGGCCCCCTTTACATTTTTTGTGGGGGGTGAAGGGGGGACCTTGAGGCGGCGCACGCGGCGCAACAAGGAGGACACCCCCCGAGGGTCAAGGTCGTCCGTTTAAGGTCAAGGCTTTGGGCCTCGATTTTCAAGGTTTAAGGTCGGGGTTTTCATGGTTCAAGGTCACTTGCAAGGTCAATCAAGGTCAGTAGTAGTTGTTCCAAGATGGCTCCAAGACGGCATCAAGATGGCTCCAGGATGGCACCAAGACAGTCCAAGATGCCCTCCAAGATGGCTAAGACGGCCTCAAACGGCCTCCAGCACAACCCTAAGACGCTTCCAAGACGTCCAAGACGCCCCCAAGAGAACCCGAGTTTGCCCAAATATGTTTCGAAGATTGCCGATCGTCGCGATATTGATGATTGAGGCGCGATATTGATTAGGCGCGATATTGATTATATGGGAGCAGCCTTGAGGCGGCCGCAGGGTGAGAGGACGACAATCATTCGATAAGTGTTTCAAAATTCAAGTCGTGTTCATCTCGACGACCGCCGCATTGATCCAAGCACGCTTTGACTCCTCACGGTGGCCTGTGCCACCGTGCCCTCGAGGCGCACGCGTGGCTCCCTGGACCGTGGCCCAACTCCCCCTAGACCTGGCGATCTACCACCTAAAGTGAAACTTGAAACTTGCACAGCCCCGAGCCTCGAGCCTCGGGGTGGGAATCTCAGAACTAGATGCCAGCCCAGCCCACCTCCCACCTCCTATCTCCTATCCTTACTCCTCCTCCTCATCCTCGTCCTCATCCCTCCCAGTTTCGTCCGCCGAGGGTACGTAGGTACTTGGTACGTTTGATTTCGGTTAACTGTTAACTCCTCCTCCCCCTCATCTCCTTCCTCTTCCCTTTCGCCATCCATACTATCTACTATCGTTCAACTTCCCCTCATCCTCCTCCTCCTCTATGGTCAGTTTGAATCTCAATCCAGCCCCCTCTAGATGGGCATGAGGCATGAGGCATGAATCTGGCGAGGGCTACCAATTTGCCCCCGAGGCTCAATGGTCCAAGATTGGGGCTGCGTCGCTGGTCGCCCACTCCACCTTGATGTCCGTCAACCTTGATGTCCGTCACCGTCCTTGACGCTTCCATGTGGCAGGCCGTGATCTGCAATTGCGTCATGGCTTTCTTCATGT